CCCAGCCTCTGATAATACACACTGTTTATCTTTATTTTGGGGGTGTTCCAGGGTAGTTTTATCATCATAATTGATTAGTGGCGACAGGGAGAAAAAAATCCAAGAGTAACAGGAAGAAATGATTCCAGTGAATCCATTGACTCAGTGGTAGCATTGATCTACTTCTGGGAATTATTTATAGGAGAAGATTCATAGTTAATAATATTAGTTTGGACTTTGGGAGCAGTTTATCAGAGGCTCTTAAAGGCCTTTGGTAAAAATTAATCAGGGGGAGAAATAAGGTAGACAGCCTGGTTTCAGGAGAGGGAAGGAAATGGGATTTCTGGCACAACTCTGTCCACCCCAGGGTGACAGACAACACGAGGGGTAACTCGGGGTGCTTGGATTTGTGCAAGCACAGGAGTGAGAGGCTGGATTTCCAGCTGCTCTATCAGACAACAGAGCTGGGGAAGTCTTTGGCAGATTCCCCACTAACCCCCTCCTTCAGGTGAAGCCAGGGTGCCCACAGGACTGTGACCCCCACAGATCCAGCAGGGAGAGCTGCCCAGGGGCAGCACAAACCCTGCTCTTCCCCTTCCTCTCCTCCCTGCTTTGTTTTTGGCTTTAACTTAATTGATCTGTATCCTGCAATCCTACCCGCAGGAGGAATGACACATCTGAAAAAAGCAGGAGGATTTGTTTAAAGTGAGCTGCTTGGGTTTTTCGCTGTGTATATATATAGAATTGCCTGGAAGTAGTAAATAGAATTAAACACTGTGGTTCTGAAAAACAGAATTCTCAGGGCTGTCTGTTGATTTCAAAGCTGACGAAAACAAAGCAGGCTTTGAAATCTTTCCTTGCAGAGCTTCCCCCTCCTCCCTTATCATATGAAAGATGGGCCTGATAATATTTGGGTTTTATTCTTCTTTTGAAACAGTTGAAAAAAACACTGTTTTCTCAGTTAAGATGAAAATCATGTTTTTAATAAGGTCAGTGTAATGTCTTCATTAGCAAATGCTGAAATAATTTGATGCAGATCTGGAACTTGACGGGGAAAAACTCCAGTTTCTACCCAAAATATAGAGCCACATTTGCACCAGGTGTGAACCAGTACTGCTTCCCTAAAATTACTGGTTCTGGGATAGCCTATTCCTGTTTAGGGACTGGCTGCTGTGTTTTTAAGTCACTCCCTCCTGCGCAGCCAGACTCAGAGGTTTTTGTTTGTTTTCCTGCCTGGCCCTGGGCTGCTGAGAGCCCCAGGGCTGGGCAGCACTCGTGGGTTTGGTGGTTTCCTTTCAGCTGATGGAGCAGGTGGAAACAGAGGGGCAGGGAACATGGGAGGAGGTGTAGAGCTCACCACGAGGAAACACAGGTGACGTTAATGGATGGGCAGCCCAAAATTAAATCAAAAATATCCAACGCACTAAGTCTGCACTCTGCTGAAATTTTGCCTACAAATATCTCAACCAAAGCTGCTGAGGGCTGTGCACTTAAGAGCCTGCCCTCTGTTGTGCATCCCAGGGACACACAGCAAGTCTTTGCCCAGCTCTGTGGATGGTGCCTAGACAGCCCTGAGCAGTCTGCCACCACAGACCCCAAAGACATCTCTGCCATCCCCTGTGCTGAGCCTGCTCCGAGGCAGGGCTGGCACAGCCCCTCTCCTGGTGTGGCTCTGTGGGTAACGCCCGAGGCAGAGATGCACCAAGAAGACCAATTGTTTGCAATGACACATTCTGCATTTTAAATGATCTTTGACTTCCTGGCAGTTCCCCAGCATATCACCCCCTGGAATTCTGTCTAAATAATGTTTGTCAGGTGAAGCCACAGCTGGGCAGCAGGCAGGGCCCTGCTCCTCACTGGGGACCTCGAAACCCACCGCCGATCAATCTCCACAACCTGCTAAATGATAGATGGAATGTAATATAGGTCATTATTTCTTCCCTATGCGTGAAAATGAATTATTCAGTAAAGATTTAGATCCTTTTTATTATGACACTGAATTTATAGAGCATACAACACATAAATGCAGATTTCTACAGCCCCAGATAGATGAACTCATTCTCCAGGCAGCGTGAGGTGGATGCAGCCCCTCGGCATCGCTGCACAGCAAAGACAGGATGTCCAAGGAACACGGCTGCAGCCTGGGAAACTGGGACCTGCCACCTTCCCTACCTGGAACAGCATTCCCAATCCATGCCCAACTAGTTTAGGAGCCCAAGATTTCCTTGTTTCAGAAATCAGGCTCTCAGGGCCCATGTATCTCCAAGGAGATTTGAGGTCTCATGTCACTTTGGCCTTATAAATGCTCATCTTAACAAACTCTGCATCTCAGTTTCTGATATGAAATGGGAGTTGTAAAAATTGAAAGGAAATTGGTGAGGCTAAAACCTGCTAATGAGAGTAGGGGCTACAGTGAGTATGTGGACAGATGTGATTGTCCCAAATTCGAGTGTCCTGCAGAGCCACCATGGAGGGCTGGTGTGAATCAATAGCAGTAACTTTCCTTGTTATTGGACTAAATGCTTCAACTTTTAATTGTGCAGCTGGGGAGAATGTTACCCCTGGCCGGCAGTTACAGATGTCAGCTTTGCCGTTCATTAGCTACTTCCCAAATTCCACTGGGACGTTGGATTTTTAGCATGAACATTAAAGGCTGGAGAGGAGGAGAGCAGAGGGCAAGCCTGCAAACTCTCAGTGGGCTGGAGGAAAATCTGGGAGTGGGGCTGGAACAGCACCTTTGGGGCTGGGTGCTGTCGACTGCAGCCAAAGGAGCAGGACAGCGGCTCCTGGTTTGTCACCTGTGGGCTTCAGGTGCCAAGCGTGTCCCCAGAGCTTCCCTGGTGCCGTGGGTTTGGCTTCTGCTGTGACAGCAAAGCGCTCAGAAAGAGCAAAACTGACTGAACAGATTGAAACTGGTCACATCCCTGAACCCAGCCTCAGCTCTGAGGGAGGTGGAGAGAGAACGTACTGATAAAGTCTTCCCAAAGCTGTTTGACCTGTAACGTTTGCTGATGGAAGGGATAGCACTGGAGATTTCCTTTTAATATGTAGCAATCAAAATTTCTTTCTGAGCCATAAGCAGCTGCACTGAAGTTCCTTCTGTCCATCAGCAAAATCTCTCTTGTGCCTGTTCATTCTGGAACCCCTTTAAAATTCTGCACCACTGCCAGAGAGATTAAAGGGGTAATATAACCCCAGGAACTGCTCTCCTGACTAGTAATTTCCCGGTGATTATTACAAGAAATAGCTAAGATCTAAAGGAAGCTCAAAGGGGGGAGAAAAAGACTGTTCTTTAATCCCCCCATCCATTTCCTTTGCACATTGGTGCTGCTCACCCTGCTGGGGCAGGGCCGGGTCAGCCCCTTTTCCCTGCCCGCTCTGGAGGAGCAGAGCCTGCCCCACTGCTGAGCCAGAGTTCAGCACTTCATGGCAAAACAAACCAAATAAAGGGAATTATATCCCGTTTTACAGTGGTCAGCATCACAGCATGAAGAGGGGTGTTTCTCCAGTGGGCCTGACCTCCCAGCCCTGCACACATCCACTCATTCCAACCTTGTTCATTAGTCCCTGCTGGAAAGTACATCCACATACTGCCCCCAGCCCCAGTGAAAATATTATAATCCCTGAGCTGGAAATAGTTGGCAACCCCAAAACAGCTCTTGCAGGCTCAACTGCTGAGCTGGGAGGTCTTTGGTTGGGAGGCACTCGGTGTTGGACAGGTAGAAGAACTCAAAATCCACGGATATCTCTGAAAATGTAGGGCAACGTGGCTCAGTCCCACTGGGCAGGCGGCCCATGCTCCTTAATTTAGGCGAACCTGATTGCTTAGATAATGACACCAATACCTGGCAGCCCCATCCCGCAAAGCACTGCTCAAACACCGAGGGGGAAACGCAGGAGCTGAGGGGAAGCCCTGCCTGGGCAGTGCCTGTGGGGCCGAGGGGTGCCTTGGGATGTGGGGACACCAGGACATGGGAACACCGGGGTGAGGGAACAGCAGGGAACAGGGACACAGAGCCCTGCAAGGGCACTGGGGCATGGAGGAGCCCCAGGACACGGTGACACAGGGACATGGGGCTCGGGCCCCAGCCTCTTCCTCCGAGCAGCCCCAGAAAGCTGCAATTTAAACCCGGGGTGCCCGCAGGGCCCGGGCGGTGCCGAGGGCAGCGTGGGTGCGATGCCCAGGCTCGGTGAGGGGATGGTGCCTCTCGGTAACGCCCGAATTCTTCCCGAGTCCCTAAAATTTAATTTTCCTCTCCTGGACACCCAGCCCCCGGAATTCTCCCCTGACGCCCGGCTGGGCTGTGCGGGGTGGGGAGCAGAGCGGGGGGCCGGCAGGAGCAGCCAGCTTCAGCCAAAGGCCACCCCTCGTGAGGGCCGGGGGCCCGGGCAGGGGGTGACGGGCCGGGGGGACAGTCCGGGGGCACAGTCCCAGGGGATAGTGTTGGGGGACAGTTCTGGGGACACAGTCCCATGCCGACAGTCCCAGGGGACAGTTCTGAGGGCACAGTCCCATGCCGACAGTCCCAGGGGACAGTTCTGAGGGCACAGTCCCACACGGACAGTCCCAGGGGACAGCTCTGAGGACACAGTCCCATGCCGACAGTCTCGGGGGACAGTTCTGGGGGCACAGTCCCACACGGACAGTCCTAGGGGACAGTTGTGAGGGCACAGTCCCAGGGGATAGTGTTGGGGGGACAGTTCTGAGGGCACAGTTCCATGCCGACAGTCCCAGGGGACAGTTCTGAGGGCACAGTCCCACGCGGACAGTCCCAGGGGACAGTTCTGAGGGCACAGTCCCACCCGGACAGTCCCAAGGGACAGTTCTGAGGGCACAGTCCCACGCGGACAGTGCCGGGTGTCGCGGACACGCGTGAGGGACGGACGCGCGCGGAGGGGGAAGGCGGGAGCTGCGCGGGGAGGGCGCGGTGACGTCACTGCGACGTCACAGAGGGCCACGCGCCGGCGGAGGCCCCGCCCCCGCGAGGGAGGGGCGGGATGGAGGGAGGGGAGGATGGCGGCGGGGGGAGGGAGCGCCGGCGCGGCGCTGAGCTAAGCCGATCCCACGTGTGACGGATCTGGCTGCTGCCCCAGCGCCTCTCCAGTGAGATCCTCCGGTAGCGGAGGGAGGAGGAGGAGGAGGAGGAGGAGGAGGGGGGAAGGGAAAAAGGGGCAAAGCAAGCGGAGCGAACCGAGCCGGAGCCGGGCCGGGGGGGGCAGGCGGGTTGGGCGGGCGGGGGGGGTTCTCTAAGGGGCTCTCGCTCGGCGCGGCCATGGAGGCGGACGGGAGCCAGGCTACCTCGGGGAGCCCCGGAGAGGCGCAGCACGACCCCGGGTAAGTCGGCGGGGCGGCGGGGGCGCGGAGCGCGGCGGCGAGGGGCGGTCAGGCGGGCCCGCCCCGCTCCGCGCCGCTCCGCTCCGCGCCCCTCCGCCCCGCCGGGAGCTGCCCCGTCAAAATGGCCGATCCCGCACCGGCGCTCAACTCCGCTCTGCTCTCTCCCTCCAGCAAGATGTTCATCGGCGGCCTCAGCTGGCAAACCTCACCAGGTAACCCCCGCCCGCCGCCCCCTCCCCACGCGTGTCCCGCCCCGCGTGGGCCGCGTCCCGCCGCGCCGGGCCCTGCCCGCGCCCCCCCATCCCTGATCCTCCTCTCCCTCTCTGCTCTCTCTCCGCAGACAGCCTTAGAGACTATTTTAGCAAATTCGGAGAAATTAGGGAGTGTATGGTCATGCGGGACCCCACCACCAAGCGCTCCAGGTAAAACCGCCGCCCACCCCGCTCGGGCTGACAAACTTCGCGAGTTGCGGTCGGGGCGGGTGGACCCGCAGCCCCCGGTGGCAGCCCCGGATCCCACCCCCGCATCCCCCCGCACGCCTGGGGCGCTGCGGGAGGGCTCTCCCCGCCCGCATCCCTCCAGCCCGGAGCAGGAAACAAAGCGGCCGGTGCAGCCGGAGAGGGGCCGGGGGTCGGAGCCGGCCGCCCCCTGCTCCCGGAGGCTGCGGGGGAGGGCGGAGGAAGGAGGGGGACCCAGCGGTTTATTTTTATGACTTCTCCCTTTGGCTCTAATTCTCATCACCACCCCC